AAAAAAAAAAAATTGAAAAGAAAAAAGGAAAAAAAAAAAAGAAAAACAAAAATATATGTAAATGAGTCTTCAAAGAAAGAGAAAAAAAAAAAAGAAAATGTACAGATCCAAAATCATAACTTCGTTCTGTACTTCACCGTTAAGGGGATTCGCAATAATAATAATAATAATAATAATAATAATAATAATAATAATAATAATAATAATAACTCGAACGAAATAAACACAAAGAAAGAAGGAAAGAAAGAAAGAAGAAAAAAAAAAAAAAATGCAGTTCCCATTTCCATGCACTCAAATACACAGATAAACGCTCTTTTCCTCATGATCTTTTTTTTTTCATTTATTATTATTGTTCTTCTTACTTTTCACTCTTTTTTTTTGTTTTGTTTTGTACGTCTTCCTTCCTTCCTTCCTTCCTTCGTTACTTTTTATCTTATTATTTCTTTTTTCTATTTATTTATTTTTTTTTTTTACTTTTTTCTTCTTTTTATTCCCCCCCTTTCCCGCTTTCTTGTCTTTTTTTTTTTTTTCTTCACTTTGGCAGTCAGTGTCCCACAACTTGCAAGGGTCTCAGCCAAAGAATATACCTCTATATATATAGATATATAGATAACTATATAGATAACTATATATATAGATATACGTGTATGTATATATACTTATATTCTCTCTCTCTCTCTTTTTCTCCCTCGGATATATATTCTCTCTTTATTTATTTATTTCTCTCTTTTGTCTGCCCTCTTTTTCTCACTCTCCCACTATTCATTTTCTCTCTCTCTTTCTCTCTCTCGCCTTTTTTAATACAACTCATACACAATCACCTCCAACACTATCCCAAGTGAACTAACAAGGGCATTTAATGAAAAGAGTGATTTAAGAAACGGAATAGCCAACATCGTTACAAATATACTACCAAAGATAACAGCCGCAAACACAACTCCAAAAGATGTGGTGAGAAGTTCCATAAGAAATCCAATTAAATCCCCTCGCATAAGAGAAGTGTGTTCCTGCAATAATTTATAACTAATCACACAATAACCCACCATACCTAGAGAAAGAAGAATAGTAAGATTCTCCACTACAATTCCTCGCCAACCATTCTTTAACACAAAGGAAAGCCATTGACCTGTACAGAAAGGAACCACAACATAAAGTCGTTCTCCAATGGAATGGGCGGGATAATAACGATCTTCATCCATATCTTTTAATTTACATAATAATCCTCCAATAGCTCCATGCAACATCGCTACCACTATCCATAAAAGATGAAAATCATTTTGTGGTGTAGATCCACTTACATCTATTGTAGAAAGTGAAGAAGAAGAAGAAGATGTTGATAATCCTTCTTGAAATGTATTCCCAGTATCTACAATCGCCATATTCCAGATAGAATCACTGAATACCCCCAACACCCATGATCCAATCATTAAACAATCTCCACATTGTTTATATACCGCCACATAATAAGTAATCGCAATAACAGAAAGGCTAAATACCAACACGTGAAGAATACTAGTAGTAGTATTAGTAGTAGTAAAACCAGGCATGTTGACAAGAACGTAAAGAGATGCTAATGTGTGTGGAACCCACAGTAGAAGTGCAGCTACACGTAATGTGAGATACATTTTACGGGCATCTCTGGAAACGCACTCACGCTGGCGTGTGGAATTGTCACTCCCATGCATTTACGTGTTCCCCGTTTACTATTTTTTTTTTTTTACTTTCTATGTACATATATAAATATAAATATATATATATATATATAAGTGTAAAGAGAGAGAGATAGATATATAGATAAAAAGAGAGAGAGAGAGAGAGATGCCACGCATGAACGAGAATAAATGTATAGGTAGAATAGTCATTACAGAACAGATCGAGAGAATATTCTATTTATATATATATATATATTAGATAGATACAAACACGAAAGCAAAACAAAAACAAAAACAAAAAAAAGAAGCAATCTAAAGTAGGAGAAAGAAGAATAATCATTAGAAATATCAAACAAGAAGAACAACAAAACAAATTAAAAAAAAAAAAATGATACTCTGTGGAGATTCCCCATTATACTCTTCGCAAATAATGTTCATGATAATCATGATTATTAGAAAGAAGAAGTCTTCTCTTTTACTACACAGTCCATGATCTCATTTCCCTTCCTTTCCCTCCACACATCCCTATAAAGTAAAGTATTAAGAACAAACAAACAAAAAAAAAGAAACCAAAATCTATCTATTCATCCATCCATCCATCCATAAATAAATAAATAAATGAATGAACTGTCATTTCTTTCTAAGAAGAATGCCGTTCAAATCATCCGTGCAGCTCCCGCCTCTCCAATCTTTTGAAGTACCCAACTAAAACAAAGAGGACCAAATATCAATGAGAGTATCACACATCCAGCATACGCCTGGGCAAGTGGAAGAATAGCCTCAGCTGTTATTATCATCATTGTTGTTGTTGATATTGATATTGTTGATGTTGTTGGGCCAAACATCTCTACAGCTCGCCGTATAAGCATTAACGCCACAGCCAATTGTGTCACAAAACACAATCCGAGAAATAGTCGAGCGCGTTGATGTGCCATCGCAGCAGAGACAATAACAACAGAAGGAGAAGAAGTTGTTATTGTTGTTGTTGTTGTTATTCCTATTCCTCCTCCTGTTGTTGTTGTTGTTGTTGTTGTTGGTATAGTAGTTGTGAGAGGAATAGGAGAGATGGGACTACCACTGAGAGCTGCAATTGGGGAAGGTGCAAAGTTAGTAGTAGTAGTAGTAGTAGTGGTGTGTGAAGTTCGTCTGCTGTAATTCATAGTAATCATTTTGGCAGCCGTGTCACTATTGGGATTACTCATATTATTATTATTATTATCACTATTAGTATTATTATTATTATTATTATTATTATTATTATTATTATGATTACTATTGTTGGTATGATCGTTTCGTTTGTAGTTCTCAAGATCTCCAACGGCAGTCATCCCGCAGTAGGTTGCCAACAAGAGAAGGAATACTCGACCAATAAACAAACAAACAGCCGCTAATAATAATCCCAATGGTGAGAAGGAAGGAAAGACTGTTCCTGTTATTGGAATAAGATTCGTATTATTCTTAATTGTATTCATCATATGTAAACTATTAATATTCGTATTCGTATTAATATTCATATTCGTATTGTCTGTTATTTTGGTATTGCTTGTTTTCATTGTCACTCGTAATCCCATAAATGTAAACAGAATCACATTATAATAAGTACGAAACTCTTGACTGGCAGATTCCAATGGTTTAAATGGGGCCTCTGCGTGAATAAAAGATCCTGCAATAATAGCAGATAATAATAATTCACTAGATGTAAACCAACTCCACACAGCAAGTAATAAACAAAGTATAAAGAGTAAAGATCCTCGAAGTAACATATAAACACCTCTACTAATAATACTACTACTACTATTACTATTAATATTACTATTAATATTATTAATATTAGTAGTATTAGTTGATGTTGATAGGATATTCCATATTGGTGAATGTCCTAATATACGCGCCACCACCACTACACATATTGCCGCTATTGCTGTAGTGAAGAGTGTCTCTGCGAGTTCCTGCAATCCACGCCAAAAAGCCCCAGCGGAGTGTAATATCGCCGCGCAGAATATAAATAATAATAACGCAACGACATCCTGCACGGCGGCAACAGAGAGAATAAAGAGTGTATACACACCAGCCGCATGCGTACTGCGAATAGTCGCCAGACACGCAATGGAGGATCTCTCTACGGCTATACTTGCGAAGAGAGCGGCATAACTCCACAATGGAGCCTCCACTGATAATGTTGTTGTTGTTGTTGTTGTTGAGATTGTAGATATCCATAAAGATGATGTAGGTAGTACCTCACTATTATTAATATTATTATTATTAATATGATTAGTATTATTAATAGTAGTATTATTCGATGGGCTTAAATAGAATAATAGTATATAGATACAACGTCCCAAGAAAGTCATTCCAATAAACAAAATGGGAATAAAACAAATAAGAAATTTCACTAATGCCACTCGTAAAGGGGCGAGTGTACGTGGAGTGAGATGTGCTCCCATTTCCAATCCAACAGCCGGTAAGACAAGAGAGATCACCGGTGAAGAGAGAGAAAGTATACAATTTAATACTTCTATAGGAGCTAGAGTAGATAATATAGCCCGGGTAAGAGCTCCAGTGAGAAGCATCCACAAAACAGGTGGTAATGGTGGAATAGATCGAGAAATGGCCATAAGTGCAGAGGCCGCAGCTGCAAACCAATAGGCAATACATAAGATTAAACTACATATCACTATACTACAGAGAATAGTGGTAATGGGATCCATAATCGCGTGTTCTTACCTATATATATATATAACTATAACTTCTTTGATATTTCTCTCTTTCTTTCTCTCTCTCTCTCTCTCATAAGTAAAAAAAGAAAAAAAAAAA